GAATTAGCACTCTGTGAAAACTTGATTTGGAGATAAGTGGGGCTCTTCTGCTCCTCCTGCTTTACCAAGAAGCTCTCATTCAGCTTGGAGCTCAAGTTCTGTATCCCATCTCATTTGTCTATCTGCAAGATCCACTCAGTCTTTTTTACTCTCTTACATTTCCCCACCTCTTCTTTCTCCCTCCATTGGTTTCCTGTTGCTTTGTCACTCTTGCCTTCTCACATTCTCTTCATCTCTACCCTCAGTCAGTAGTATGTCTATCACATCTCTTCCTTATTGGTCACTCTGGCATTGCTGGGGCTGGTATTTCAAAAAGGTAGGTGATCCTATGACAAAAAACTAGGTGAGACCAGAAAAACAACTTGACCTAAAATTATATTTACTGTCTGCATCGTTCTGTTGTTCCGGTTTTGAAAGATTGGGATAGGTTTTTTTTTAAAGTAAGTTAACGAATAAATAAAGTTTGAATTTAATTAATTATATAGTTTATATGGTCACGCCCCTTAGAATAAAAAAAACCCCAGAGGTTTGAAGATTCTAAAGATACATCCACGTGTTTCAGTGGTTACATACTGTTTGGATTTTATGTCTGTTATAGTAACAACATATCTAGAATCTGTTTTGGAAAACAACAACAACACTGTTGCATTTTTTAAAACATCTCTATGAGACTAGATGGTAGCAGGGGGGAAATGGTGGGGGAAACGTCAGTGAAGATAAGCACAGTGAGTAGTAAAGTCAGGATTGAGGAGATAATGAAATGACTTTTGATCTTCTTTGTAGCAATTGTAAATACAACTGTATATTTACCTCTTTTTCTAAAGTTATATCATGATACTCTTCACATAATCAATTCCATCTAATCAGCAAAGAATCCTAAGTTCATTTTTTATATTGTACACACAAGAAGTCCATAAAGAAGTCCATAAAGGAGACTGGGGTTTCCGATCACTTCTTTATACCCTTTTTCTTTCTTTTCTATTGTTCTTCTCTTTTTCTTTTTTGCACTTTAGCTTTCTCTCTTATTTCTTCCTTTCCCCACTCCTCATTCTATTTTAGGTTGTGTTAATTTTTGCTCATTTTTAAAACTCTTAATAAAATTATATTTTAAAAAAGTTTTGAGGAAATAATGAATTATTTTTTCCTAAACTACCATCTTTCTTCTCAATTTTCTCTTTCATAGTTATTTCCCTTTATTTAAAACAAAGAAAAGGAATCTATTTTTTTTAAAAAAAATGCTATTGTGAAAAGAATAACATGATACATGTTATTTAGCTGTTAGCTGACCTTAGATATAGATATGACCAGAATATTGCATTATGAGGAAGCACCCTTAAATAATATTTTGCAAGGGTATTTTGAATTGGTGTAGAGGTTATGTGGCTGCATCTTTAGTTATATTTGTTTGAAGAAAAATGTTTGTGTGACAGCCAAACATTCATCTGTAGTTCCATCTGAAACAAGAACAGCCTGTAATATGGTCCTTGGAAAATGAGCTGAGGAGGGAAGAATTCCACAACTTTTGTCAGTGTTAAGATTATTTGCAGCATCATAAATTGGCTTAAAAACAACTTTTTTTTAGTCAATTAAGCTGAATTTTCTGACAAGAAAAACAAATAACTGTTAACCTGCAGAAAATGTGATTGTCTTTAATTCTCCCAAAATAAAAACAGGTAGAACTGATATCTACAATTACAAGATCCTCAGGCGTGGATAGTTTTCTAAGTTAAACTAAAAAAACCTCTTTCACAATAAAAAAGTAATCACAGATCTTCAATAATTGCTTCAACAACTCTGATTTCTCTATTTGTCAGTCATGCAGATGCCTCTCTTGATTTATCCAAGGATCCTCTGTGCTGTTACAGATGTTTATATGATCATTCCAGAACTAGAACACCTTAATTTATCTTGGACCGACAGTTATAGCTGCTTTTAGATTGTATAGCATATATTGAACTCCTCAGGGAAACAGCAGGTGTTCCTATCTGGGCCTGAAATTCTTAAGAGGACTGTATGATAAAAAAAAAACACACACACAGTAAATGTTTTTTTTTCCTGCTGCTACTATATTTCAGCCATAAAATCTTCCTTCATTGTTATTTTAATAATTTTGTTAAATGTAGATCTCACCTTTCCTTTAGAACTTCAAACTTGATTTCATTGAGTGCTGCATCAAGGTTGTTTTGACCTCGGGGAGGGGAGAAGTGGGCAGGGCGAGGTTGACATCACTTGTGTTGGAGGTGCCTGTATTGGCCTGAGTGCTCTGCCAACAAAAATGGACTCCCAAGCTCTGTTTTCGGCTGCAACAGCCTCCTGCAACACTCTGCCAGCAAAAATGGAGCTCAGGAGGGATGCAAGCTCCATTTTTTCTGGTAGAGGCATTGCTGGGTGGTCCTTCGCAGTTTCCAGAGCAGCTCCACGGGCCAGATCTAAGCACCCCATGGGCCAGATCTGGCCCACGGGCCTTGAGTTTGACACTCCTTCTTTAGAAGTTCAAAGGAAATGTAAACAGTGCTTCCATCTTCCGTTTTTCCTTACAACTCTGAGAGATAAATTGGACTGAGAAAAAGTAGACTAAACTAATTCAATTAGCTTCTGTGGCTGATGCTGGACTTGAACCTACATATTCTGTGGCCAATCTAGCATTTTAATTATTGCACTATACCAAGTAAATAACTTTCTAAATAAAATAACTTATTCACACACTGTTCAGTTAATCTGTTTGGCTTCTTGATTACATATCTGTTTGGTATAACTTATAATTGATATTGATAGTAAAATCAGATTTCTGCTGATAAAATTTACACTAAATAATTTGTTGTTAGGGTGAGTGTTACAATATTACTTTGGAAGACTGAAGGCAACTCTGTGAAAAGTGGAGTCAATGACCATAGTGGAAAGGAAAGCAAGTACATCATCAAGTAGACCAGCTCTTTGAAACCAATCTGGACAAAAAGAGGACTTGAAAGTACTCCAGGTAGTTGCTCCTTATGAAGAGGCTGCAAGAAAGTGGTATGCAATGGATTTAGAGCTCTGGGAGACAAGATAATAGCCATCTTGCTCAAACTATGATCAGCACATCTGAAAAGATACAAAATTTGTGTACTTCCTTTTCTTATCATTTTCAGAAATTGCTTGTTAAACTGCTTTTCAGCTATTAGAAACTTTCAACTTTGATAAGTCTGACAGCACCCTGTAAGTTTCCTTCAGTCCTTAGGGAAAAAGTGTTTAACAAAGGGTTTTGGGTTTTTTGAATAAGAGTTCAGAATAAACAGAATAAGAGTTCAGATAAATTTAACATAAGATTTTGGAATTAATTATAAAGAATCTTTCCTGTGGAAAAATGCTTTTGTTTTGAATTTTTGTGAAAAAAACATAGCAAGATAAGATTTTAAAAATTGGGACAGTAGAAGGAACTAAAGGTTACAATTAAAGGAGAACACAAGAATTCGATTTACAATTATAAAATAAAGCAAAATATTCTAACATTAGACATACTGAAGGATATTTTTGAAAGTAGGTTTAAGATACAAAAGGTGTATCTACAAAATGAATTTCAATCATGAAAAAAGTAACGTTCTACATCAAATGCATAGGTAGAAAATAGGTGGTACCTGGCTCAGTAGTAGTAACTGTGAGAAGGATCTTGGAGTCCTAATGACAATCATTTAAATGTGAACCAGAAGTGAGCTGTAGCTGCCAAAAAGCCAACTCAGTCCTAGGCTGCATCAACAGAGGGAGAAAATAAAGATCAAGTAAAGCATTAGTACTACTTTATAATGTCTTGGTCACATTGATCATACTTGAAACATTGCATCCAGTTTTGGTCACCATTGTCACCAAAAGGACAGTGCCAAGCACTGCACAGCACTAGAAACCTCAGAAAACAGTGCCAAGAAAACTCAAGCCAGCCTTAAAGAAAACTAAGAATCACCAGCTTAAAGGGAAAAAAAACTCAGAGCAGCCTGCTAAGGGCTGTTACAAAAGTAACAAAAGCTGACCACAGAAATACTTAAGTACAGCCATTAAGATAAGGGGATTCAGGCTAAAAATAAACTTTCCAAAGTAAGATGAAGCTCCCCTTTTCCTGCTCCCTAATTCCTAAAATAGGAAAAGACAAAAGATTGAAACAGGATTAGTTCATCGGGGGCAGGAAGGAAAAACTCAGAGCAATCACTAACCAGGACAAAGCCATCAGAACAGGAATTGCCCAGCACCCCTTTATTACATCACCCAGCAAGATTCAACCAAGCCTGGGACTCGAGACAACCTACAGTTACCCTTCCAAGGAAGTCTGACAACCAATCAGGATACATTTCTTACCACAGGAATAGGAAGCAAGTTCAAAGCCCAACAGAGGGTATAAATCACTCTCCCTCTCTCAATCATGTGCTCATTTTTTTTGTGCCCAGGACCTCAAAACCATGTGTCCTGTCCACCATTAAACCATCCTTCCAAGCAGTCTCCATGTTTCCAGTGTCTTTCTTCCCACTTGGAACTGAACCCAGATGGACATTTCTTCCAACACCATGCTATATAAAAGATGTTGAGACTTAGAAAGAGTGCAGGGAAGAGAACAATTAATCAGTGGAACACCTTGCCTCCAGAAGTTGTGGTGCTCCATCACTGGAGGTTTTCAAGAAGAGATTGGACAATCATTTGTCTGAAACTGTTTAGGGTTTCTTGCCTGAGCTGGAGGTTGGACTGGGTCTCTTCCAGCTCTGTTATTTTGTTCTGAAATGATGTTAGCTTGTAGTCCTAGTATAGATTCCTGGCAGGATATATGTTTCCCAAGTTTTTAGTGAGTTACTAATATTTCTAAACTTAATAAATAGCTAAAGTAAAAAGGGACATAAACAAGGTAAATGTTTTTGGAGACTTCATAGGTTTGTTTATAAAACTGTGGGATAGCTAGTGTCCTGGGGAAATTCAAACCTAAGATATGGACACAGGGTTGGGGGTGCATAGTTGTAGACCCTGGATGTTGCTTTTTTTTTTTCCATTTTCTTTATTGACTTTCAGGTAGTACCACCTACAGGCACCTGCAAATCTGAATAGATGATCAATTGATTATTATTACCTTTGTTGTCAGAATACAACATGTGTACAATGAGATTGGCTGAGCCTCCCTTTGTGCACCCCCCAACACAACTCAATTTGAATCAGAAACAAAAAGAATGATTTATTAATGCAACTTTCTGGTTTTCACAACATGCTGAATCATAAACTAACACGAGATTAGATTTATACAGATGATTGATGATGGAGACATTCTGCTAGAACCCTTAACCATCCAAAACCTTAAAGGGTACCCATCAGCACTTTGATTTTAGTGAGGCAGTGGATAGTGAGGCAGGGGACAGGCTTTTTGATATCACACCTTGCTTGTTTTATCCCTACTTCTCCAAGGAATAGCTGTGACTTTTCTCTGACTGACAGTAGAAGACTAATTAATAATTACTGATTATAATTTTATATGTGTGTGTGTGTGTGTGTGTGTGTATTAAGTTTTCGCAGGTACTTACATGTATGGTATTCAGCTTTGTTCGGGTATTTATATATATATCTATAAAATCATAATCAGTAATTATTAATTAGTCTTCTACTGTCAGTCAGAGAAAAGTCACAGCTTGTTTTATAATCTGATATATTATAAAAATCACTGAGGTGTAAGATGCACTTTGGTCCACAAACCTAATCTGCAAATCTGTTTAAAAATTCAAATTAAAGCATTTCAAATTTAATGTATTCCATCACATCCTTGGTAATTAATTCTGTGGTTGATCTGGTGAATTAGGTCTTTCTGTTAAATTTTTTCCCCCAAATTCAAGTGGAATTTGCTCTCCGGTAACTTAAGATCCCATTCCTCATGATCTTCCAAAGAAAACAGGTGAATGAGTAAAATGAGTACCAATATACAACTAGTTATTTTGGGCAGGAGACTAAAATGGTTACAATTGGAAACAAGAGTCACAACAAAGGACTGCTATTGCAACATATATTTTTTTTGCATATAGAGAGATCAAAGTGCTGGTCTTGAGGGGCTATTCAATAAGTTGGTTCCCTTGAGTTACTTGAGCCTCAGCAATTATTTGATGGTGGATGTATGTGTGTTAAAAACAACCCTAACACCACACACAGTACTATATTGGAGTCACTTTTTTTTTAATTGAGCAGCTAATTAAAAATGTTAATTCCCTCACTAAGTCCATATATCATTCTAAGCGGTATATTTAAGCTAATGCTTACTGAATAAACACAGCTGAAGCCACACAATATATTAACATATGTTTATAGATCACAATGGCTGATCCATAAGAGGTGTTAAGACCAAAATGCATTCTTTGGTCGGGCACTGCAAGCCCATTCTGTGCAATGGTACAATTACATAGATAGCAATGTATATATGTAATTATATATATAGAAAAGCCCAACAGTATTGTCCTAAAAAACGAATTCACACAGGCTCGTTAAAAAAACTTTAGTTTTCATGAGCTTTTTCTCTCTCGGAATAGTAAAATTAAATGTGAAATCTCCTCCTCCTCCTCCCCCCCTTTACCTATTTCAGCTACCGTACTCAGCCGATAGCACAACCGCTTCTATCAGCCCCCACTTTCGTGCTCCATAAGAAACGATTAGTGCAGCATTTCCTCTCACGCAGGGATTGTTGGGAAGTGTAGTGTTTTGGACACTCTGGGCTGCTTCTCAGGAGTTCCCGAAACTACATTTCCCGTTTCCATGAGTCGGAGAACAAGGGAGCTTTCTCTCTCATAGCGCCGGCTGCGGCCTTGCACTAAGTGAGAAAGAGATAGGCTTGGGGGAGGGGCGGCGTAGGCCCAAGGCCGGCTGAGGCCCGGAGCTGGCGGAGGCACCACAGTTACACCAGAGACGAATTGGCGAGGCTATGGACCCCGCCGAGGCTGTGGTACAAGAGAAAGCCCTGAAATTCATGGTAAGAAGGAAAAGAGTGGGGAGGGGATTGAAAGAAAAAAGGGGTTGGCAATGGCAGTTGCTGGTAATGGTAGTAGAAAGAGGATGGGGACTTGTGGAGAAGGAGATATTTATGCGGGTTTACTACAACTCATAAGGGCAACAGTTATCTTTTAAATGAGTTTAGATAGTCTAGAAGAACAAACAAACAAATACTTGGCAATTGAGATTCTTACGGCGTAGTGAGTAAATAAAAGAAAGCAAGCAAGTCGTAGGTTCCTCCATCAGGTTTTTTTTCCCTTTTCCATATAATTGATCCTCGGTTGTAGCGGGTTTGATATGGAAAGAAGTTCCCTGATGTGGATTTTTCTGTTTAGTTTTTTTTTTAATGGATTTTATAAAAATCTGGACTGAAGGCCTGGCTTTTATAACGAAGAAGCTCAGAAGGCCGAATTTTGAATCAGAAGATTGTGAGGCTGGGAGTACATGTTGAAAGGTGTGATGGGGTTTAGGGAAAATGAAAATGCTTATTTTTTGAGGGGCTTGCCCCTCAAAAAATAAGCATTTTCATTGCACCTGAGCAACACAGGGCATGAAGCATTTTATACAAATGATTTTTTTAAAAAAAGATGGTTAGCAAGCCTAACTAAGGTACAGAAGAATTTATGTAGTCTTTGGTGTCAAAGAGGTTTTCAATTTACAAAGTAGTTCATGATAGGGTTTTTTTATCAGTAAAATGCTGTGTTGTGTTATAAATATTGTATTATGGAATTTTGGATTAGTTACATTGCATTGGAAAAAGATTCTATTTGTAAGAGGTTTTTTTTTTAAGGCTAGATACATGGTTGCTAAATGTAACCAAGGAATATAATCTCTACTGTGATGGATATGTTTAAGGCTGTTATTCTATGATGAGCATTCTTTGCTGCCTTTCCTTATTGCATCTTGGTGTCATATGACAGAAAAAGCTACGAGGACGTTCTTTTCTCTAGGTACACACAAATTGGTGAGTTTGTGTAGTAACTAGTAACTTTCCATCTGCATTTCTCCGAAACCATATGGTCCACCTCCAACCTTGTAATGTGTTGTAAGTAGAGCCATCTCTGAGTAGAAATTGTCTCTAAAGCAATAGAAACATATACTATACCTGATACATAGTGTACCTAAATACAAAGTACCTGATACACCTTTCTTCCCTGTTGGCCTGAAGGCTTTCATCCTGCTTTTATTGATATGCCAAGAAGTCTGCATTTCCCAGGCATCTCTTTTGGACCAGTCACATTCTCTTAGCTCAGCTCAGCTCAGCTCACAAAGTTGTGTGAAAAATAGAAGGAGAAGGTTTGTGGAATTTTTTTGCTGCCTTGAGTAATTTGCATAAATAATAAAGGTGGATACAAATAAATAAATTTATCCAATAACCACTGTATCCAATAAGTGCACTAGTACTGCCAATTGCCGAGTTTGGAGAAAGGTAGCTCACCCAAACCAAAATGCTAATCAGTGGTCCATCTGCCTGAATCATAAGACTCCCTGAATTTATTGACACCCCATCCAATAGTGTTCATTAACAGAAAAAAGATGAAAAATGTAAAGGCAGATTGTAAGTTCAAGGATCTGTTTCCCTCCCACCCTCCAGCTATGTGCATTTGTATGGCAAAGCAATAGGCAATGTTTTAATTCCATGGGAGCTAGTGCTATTGACATATATTTTTCCTATAAAGCTTGCAGGTGTTGCGTGTTTACTAGTTTTCGTATTATTAAAGGTAATCTCAAAATTTGGGAGAAACAAGCTGTAAGGCAGTGGAATTATGGTGGGCAGTGTGTACAGTCAGCTGATCCTTGCAGGCAAGGAAAAATGTATGTACTCATATTGAAAACGAGGGAAGAGATAAGTCTCAATTTCAGAAAGTGTAAAGTAGCTGAAAAAAATTACATTATGTTAAACTATTGCAGCTGTAGGGTGTGATTGATGAAAGACTGCCAGGATATGTAATATAGAAGTAGTTTTCAGTGTCACAATATTTGAAAGCTGAGGTTTGAAAGCTAAAATCTGTTTTACTGCCTAGTCCAGTTAATACCTTTTTAGAAGCAAATAATCAATTCCAGCCCAAATGTCTTTTGTTACTCATGTTTGAGTATGCAACTTGTATTTATTGAAAGGGCATCATATGAGTTTGGTTGTCTAGAATATACTGCCTTTATTGTGATATATTTGTGTTAATGAATAGGAATATATGAGTTATGTTTTCTTGCATCTCTGGCTATTGTATCTATCATTAATGAGGGAAAAGATATTAGATACTTCTGCCTGACCTACTTTCTACTTTCTCAAATACATAGATTTGATGTATTCTTAAAAATACCTGTGTTTATCTCCATAAAACTCATTGAAAAAATGGCTTTTTCTGTGGGAAGAAGGACCTCCAAGTAATTTTTTGTAATTTAAAGCTAGAATCACTTGGAAGATTATAGATTCTACAATTAGAATATCTTTGGTTTTTGAAATGGTTTTGATGAAATGGTTTTGGAAACCAAAGTGCTATATATTTAATCATTTTTGTATTGGCTATACCTGATCAACACAATACTAATCAAAAGTTAATTTACCTAACAGTTAAAATCATTTCACAAGCAGCCACTCTACTCTTTCCTCTTTTGGTCCTTGGAAGACCACCAGGCTAAATCAATCTCTGATCAACCCTGGGTTACCATTATAGCTTTAGTTGTGAACTTTTCCTGACGTCTTCACCAACTTATGACATTGGATTTAAAGATTTAGGATAAGGGTCTTCAAACTTGGTAAGTTTAAGACTCGTGGACTTCAACTCCCAGAATTCCTGAGCTAACATGACCTGGAGGAAGAATTCTGGGAGTTGAAGTCCACAAATCTTAAAGCTGTCAAGTTTGAAGACCCCTGATTTAGGGTATGACAATTTCTTGTTTTCTGATTCTGCATACAATCACTTGTTAATCATTATTAGTAAAAATACTGGTCATTCTGCCTACAGAAGAGCAGTCACAAATGGTTAACTGAAAGGCAAGATTAGTAAATGTGACCTGAAAGAACATTCTCAGATTTTTTTTTCCTTTGAAAAACTTTCCAAGTACACAACCGTACTATATTCTGGTGCTCTTATTTAAATGGGACATGAATTGTTCCTTACTTCAATAGGGTAATTTTGCCCCAGTTGGATGGCTATGAACACAGGCTGGTGAATGGGGATCTTTTGACCAACACTATGTTCTTCCCTGTCCCAGGATATTTGTGGTTATTGGGGAAGAAATGTTTTCCTCTGAAGGGACAGCAGATCACTTTTGACTACTTTCCCTGATCATGCAGTAGAGGTGCAGATTGCTTCAACTCTTGCTTGCTTTTTCCCCATATTGCTTGGGATACTATAATCAGGAATGGAGAGCAGATGGAGACAGCAGTAAACTCACAAGCATCTTCAGTCAGCCAGTAGGGACTCAAGTGATTTTTCTTCCTATCCCTCATTGTCTTTGCTGCTTCTGGGCATTTTCACAGAGGTTCCTTTGCATTCTAGAAACTGGTAGTTGATCTTTTCTTCACTGGTGTGAATGCATACGCTTCTGTATGGATCTTTTCAATTTCTCTCTAAACTGCGAACTGTAGAGGTCATAATATCTTCCTCTAAGAAGAAGACAAATGTGATGAATGTTCCATGCAAGGAGAAGACTTTCATTCAGAGTTGGTGGGGAAGGAGAAAGTAAGAAAGCTAAATGAAAGGAACAAAACTATCCTTGAACAGACTTAGAGAAAAGGTAACCAACCATCCTTGCTGTTATGTCCTCAAAAGAAACATAACTGCTGACATTTTGTGGTATTTGTCCAGATGTTAGTTTTGTGGATAGATTTGAGTTGCATCAAAATGTTTTTCAGTAGAGAATTCCTATTACAATGCAATGCCAAATTAAGTACTTTTCTTTTGATTCCAGGTATGTTGTGTAAGCATAAGAATTGTTGGTCAAGAAAGCTGTGCTTTCTGGTTCCTTGATCTTGTAGATGTAATATATGAGTGCCACAAGCAATAATAAAAATACTATATTAACAATACTACACTATTAAATCATTTCAGGTTGTGCTATTCTTAAGCAAATAGTTTCTTGAATAGTTACTATTGAGTATACATATTCTGTATATACCAGTTTTAATTGGTATAATTAAACATAAAATACTGAATAATATATTGTAAGGAAATGAGGATATAGCCTTGGCAGTTCCAGCTTTTCTATGATAAAATCTATAATATTTATTTAGCATATGGCAATAAAAACTGTAAAGTGGCTTGAAAAGATTTTCAAAGCTTATGCAAATGTAAGGAAAATAACATAGATGGTTTGTATTTTCTGTAACTTAACCTGAATTGGATCTTGGATCTTTTGGTAACCTTTGAGAAGAGATGTTTTCCCTGAAAAAAGTCCCTATCCCATTTCCTTCATTTTGAATCATTTTCAAGGAATCTCTTTATTAACTTCTCACTCTGATTAGTTGTTCGGCATCAATCCTTAGCAATAATGGTGATCACTATCATTGCCCTTCAAAGATTTTGAGGACCTTCCCAATTAAACAGCTTATTTGGAAACAAATATTTTAGGTGACCTTCATGGATTAGAATTGTCCTGTTGATGGAGTCCTGAGCTCTTTTATATGACTCCTTTCATACATT